TACCTCCCAGGTATAATTTGATGAGATGCTAAGTGTGAAATGACCTTTTGGGCAGCAAGAATAACACATGAATATTTCTAAGTTTATGTCTTCTCTGGGAATATTATAATACTTTGGGGGTACGGAAAAGGAGATGAGTGGGGCAGGGGGAAGATTCACCCAGAGTTGTCAGTTATTCAGTGAAATCTGTTATTTCATAGACAGATAGAATATATCATTTTCCTAATTATATATTGCCTTTGACTGTTCTCCTGGGATTGTGGAATAAAAGGAAAGTGAAACCAGAGATGTACAATACTGACTGTTAGAAAACTTTAATAATTAATTAGAGAACATCTATGGTACTCCAGGGTCAGGGTGCAAGGAAGATCATTGATTCGTTTAATTTATAGCATAGGTAAAGCTTGTTTCCCTTTATGTATTGTAACACTTCATTGCTGTTGCACTGGTATAAGGGATGGCTGCTAATAAACAGAATAACCACTGATATATAGTGCTATTGCTTAACTATTCTTGTGTTAAATTCAGTGAATTTCTTCACATTTAAGTTGTAACATCTATAAATCAGTGTGAATTTTAATGCTACCCATTTTTTAATGTAGTTAGGTATGTCATTTTTAACCTAAGCGACTTCTTCCGTTTTTCAGTCATTCAAAAATGTCATACTTTATTTTTGTCACTTTGATAGGTATGAAATGATGACTTGTTTAATGTGTAAATCTCTGATTACTAGTATTTATATATGTTTGTTGGTTATTATATTTCCTTTTCTGTGAATTGTTTGTTCATTGGGAACCGCCCTTGTCCATTTTGGTTTTGGATTATTTGTCTTTGGAGCCTTTCCTTTTAAAGAGCAAATTTTAGTTTCTGTACTAAGAAACTGCATTCCCAAGCAGAATTTTATCCTCAGATCCTGAGTGCTTTCTGATCAGAAACAGAGTTTGGTAAAGAGCCTTCTGTTATTGTATGGCTGCTATAAAAATGCTGTTTTTAATAAGTACTGAAAATATGTTGAAGTTTGTCCTTGGATGAGAGTTTATCACTGTTGGCCTTTGGGTGAACTTTGAGCCTGAGCTGTTTCATTCAAGGCAGCATGATGTCATTTAACTCACAGATTTCTCTGTTGCTAGAAAAAGGTATGTATTTCCCCTAAATAACCTAAAGGACTGAAAAATGCAGGCACAACATTATTCGCCTCTCAGGTCCCCCTAAGGACTTTAGCATGGTAAGGGTTTTATTGTTTGTGGAGGAAGGGGGGGCGTGGAGGGTGGGTATGGTAGAGAGTAGGAGAAAACAAAACATTAAAAAAAAAATGTCTGGTACGAAGAATACTTTATTCCACTGCCCACATAAAAGTCAGCTGGCAGTATGACCCAGGTCACACTCACTTCTCCATATGAGAGTCTAGGGGTCTGTCTTTGATTCTTCATTTATAAATCAGAGTGTGAATCTGAAATTTATAATTGAATTTGTAAATAAATTTAATCATCATTTGTAAGTCAGAGAATGAATTTGTAAATTAAAAAACTCTTAAGTTTCCTTCTAGAACTATATTCAACCTAGGAGCATATTTTAGTTTTCAACAGAACCTTAAAGCAGATAGCTATTATGATTAGCTCACATATAAAAATAGGTACCATTGGATCAGCATTTTTACCTTTATTTGCGAAGCAGATTTTCCTTATAGCAATAGCATTGCAATTAATTTTAGGGAGTGGAAAAGCTTCTTAACATCTGTTGGAGTTGGGAGGCTGGAGTTTACTAACAGTGGTACCTGTAGTTGATCACCTATGCCCACTATAGCTTCCAGAGATACAGCTAAGATAATTTATTATGGGAAGTTGAAGAAATGTAGGGAAGAATAGAACAAGAGCAGAACAGAACCAACTAGATCTTCCCTTCTTTGGTTTCATAAATAAGCACTGCTCAATGTTCGATATTATGCTATTTTCATTTATGTAAAGAGTATGCTTATAACCTATATGTTGTTAGTCTTTTAACTTGTATATGCATTAGAAATTCCTTTTCATTGCTTTAAATGAAACAGTGCTAGACACAAGTAAATTTTCTTTTTATTCTTTCATCTTAAGGCAATTCCTAAATCCTACAAACTTCATTTTTTTGGAGGTCTGATTTTTTTCCCCCCTGAATGTCTAAAACTATGCCAAATACACTAAGAAGAGTAATTAGTTACCTGCCCTAATGTAAAGTATATTCAATATATTAATGATAGGCTGGCCAGTTAGCTCAGTTGGTTAGAACGTGGTGTTACAACACCAAGGTCAAGGGTTTGGATCTCTGTACCAGGCAGCTTCCCCCCCTCCTCCCCACAAATAGACATGTAAACTTATCTTTCATCTTCTTAGTAGATGACTAGGTTTGTTGAAGATGAAGTTAGCTTATTGGGATGTAGTTGTTTCTTTTGGGGGCATTTTAGAAAGAGTTGGATGCCATGAAATTGGACTTATACTTTCATTCTTCTGGGGGGAAAAAACCTAAAATATCAAGAAGTTTAAATTTCTCCAGGACTGGTAATAGCTCATTCTTGGTACTTGGTTCAAACCCACATATCCTAATCTATATTAAATAATGTTAAAGAGATAAGTATTTGAAGTAACTTAAGGATGTCAATTCAGATATCTATTAATACAATGATTATAAATCTTTAATTTATCAATTATTATTTGCATAGCTTAAAACATTGTACCTATAGTTTAACAGTGTGTAAAGCAATACTTTTAACTTTCTGTAACTCATAAATACCATATTTTCTGTGGGTAACTTTTAAAAATTCTGTATGAATTGATCTTTGTATTATATTGTAGAAGGCATCTAAAAATTTGAAAACAGAATTTTTCTAAGCTTTTCATAGATTTGAAAAGTTTTATGATGAATTGACTTTTTGGAATCTTGTAAATTTTGTGTGATTCAGACTTGGGGATATTATTAATGGGCCATTTAATCTTTCTGTTCATAATTTTATTTTTGTTGTTCTATGGATTTGGAAGTATTTTTGATTTAGATTAACAGGACTAATTTGCAAAGGTCAGGTCTGAAGCAGATTTGTTTTTGTTTGCTTTACGTATAAACATACATTAAAATATATAAATATATACATAGAAACACACACATACACGCACACACACCCATACATCACTGTAAGACAGCAAAATACACATAGTGATTTTTTTTTAGCTCTTATTTACTCACTATAAGCATGGTCTTCTTTCCTGAGAACACAGTATAAACAGGCTGCCTCACAGTTACCTTATAATGAGCAACACATCCTGCCCTTGCTTGTTGATCTGTACTTACCCAATGCCTGCATGTAGAGACAGTACTTTTGAAGTTGTATTCTCTAAAGTAAATTGATAGTATGTCCTTTTTAGTTCGGTGTCTTTTTTAGTTAAGGCATGTTTTACATTACTGTACTAAAGGTAGGGATAGGACATGTCAAGATAACCTTTTCCTGTACCATATTTATTAACTACCTAAGAACCAAGGTAGTTGCTGTGTATCTTTGGCCACTGAACTTGGGTTTACAAGATGTTTAACTTCCTTTTTCTTGAAATAACCTCTCTTAAATAAGTTCTCTTTTGCACCTCTGTTCTAAGTAATGTGCAAAAATTAATCTCAATCAATTATGCTCCCCTCCAAATTTATTTCTAAATTCTCTAGGGCTTACAGAGTATAAAAGTCCTGCGGTAAAGGGTTTGGGGACATTTTACTCTCGTCACCACTGAGATGTCTCAGTTCCCCACAAGATCAGTGTTCATTGGTCATATAGGTCTCTGCAGCATTCCTCCTTGTTTCTAATCTAAATCCTGCCAGTTGTCTGGACTATGTTGTGTTATTCCTGGACACAAGAAACATCCTTCTCACCTAAGCCATGGGAAACATGGTGAGGTCATCACAAACCTGGAAGTGCAGACACACTGTGTCCGTACCTTTTCTGCTCTTGTGCCATGTTCCCTGAACTCTACCCAAGAATGAAGACACAATTTTTCAGGGATGTTGGTCCCTAAAACTTTTTCTGAGATTCTGTCATTCCTTACCCCTCCTTGGGGACTCTCTTTTTTTTTCCCTTTCCTGTCCCTGCTGCTCTTGCTCCAATCTCACAGTATCAATACTAATAATTGGGCAGTTAGTGAGTAGGGAAGCTTTGCGCTTATCATACTTTCTTTTGATCATTTTTTCTTATCCTAGGGTCAAGGTTCTTAGGTATTTTTCCCCTGTGATCTGGTATGTCATTCTTTCCCCAAGGCAGTGAACATAGAATGTTCTTCCTACCTAGACTGGAGGAGATTTAAAAATATTGATAAATGTGGTGGAGAGGGAAGGATACTACTAGATGTGTATTTGGAATCTATACTACTTCCTATGAAATGCAGATGAGAGCAGAGAGGATCTTTCTCCCCCTCTCTTTTCACTGTGGGAAATTCCAACCATACACAAAACTAGAAAACAGTCATATAATGAACCTCCACGTACTTATCAGCCATAATCAAAGGTTGGATAATGGGTCCGAGGTGACAGACAGGAAGAATAAGTTCTGGTGCCCTAGGGTGACTGTAGCTAATAATTGTAATGTATAGTTCAGGAGAGCCTGAAAGGAGGATCTTGAATATTATAACCACAAACAATGATAAATGTTTAGGTGATGGATATGTTAACTATTCTGATCAAGTCATTATACAATATATGCATGTGTTGAAACAGCAGACTGTACCCCATGAAAATGTACAATTAACATAAACAAGTTAAGTTTTCATTATTAAATTTCTATAGATATTATGAAGATTATACTCTGAACTATAGAGATCTTTCTTATTTCTAAGAACTCCAGTCTTACTTGTTCATTAATTGTTTGGAGTGCCTCTATGCTTTATATGTTGTATTTTATCTGATAAGTCACCACAGTATCCAGGATGGTTGTGCCTGTGTTCATTTTTCCACTGTATGGATAAAAGTGGTTTAAATCCTTTTTCTTTCTACCATAGTGGTTCCCCCTGGAAGTCCTGGGCCCATTACTCGACATGGATCCTACGACAGTTTAGCCTCTGACCATAGTGGACAGGAAGATGAAGAATGGCTGTCACAGGTAAAACTCTGAAATATCTGGGATATTAATGTAAAAGAAAAGAGAAATCCAATTTTTTTTTCTTTAGGGGAAAATGGGGAGAAATGATAACTCTTTTTTGAATTATCAAGAATTAATCAATTGTCTTACCATGTTATGAATTTCTGATAGATATTGCTGCACGTATACATATACATAATGCATATATGTACATTATAGTATACATATATGTGTGTGTATATTAGCTTTTATACAGAGGGCATAAAATGTGCATATCTTTCAAATAGTCCTTTTAAAGTCCTTAGGATCTTGGATTTAGACAGACTCTTTGGAACACATTTTTATTGGGTTTAAAAAAAGAGTTGACCAAACAGTGAAGCCATTCAACAACCTTTGGGATTTGTTTTGGAGCCAACATTTTCTGAAGATTGGGTTTGTATTTTTACTATGAAAGTTCAACATTCTATTCTGCACATGTTCTGATGGTGCGTGACTGAGTTTCCTCTCCTGGACTCATGTAATGCTGCTTCTAGTGGTCTCTAAACTAGCCCTGTAACAGCCTTAACTGACCATCATAGTACATACACTTGCCAGGTGAAGCCGTCTTCATCTCAAACACTTTGAAATAAAAGATACTTGGGCACATTGCAAAATGATGAGATTACAAATGACTTTATTACAAATACTGTTATGTCTGCCTCAAGTCTGACATCATTTTGTGAAGTTAATGGCTGGTCTCAGATTACCAGTCTGGTGGCTTTTCATCAGACAGGTGCCTCAGAAAAAGTAGAAGCTGTTTGTAGTTTCATTGCTTTCTCAGGGAGGGGAGTCTGGAAAACTAAAGTAAATCTGGAAACTGAAGAATCAGACAGTTTCTAGGTAACATGTATTTATTTCATTACACCAAAAATACTCACAGGAAGCTCCTTGAAGGAGGGTCAGTGCTTTAGTTCCTGGTGTATGGAGGTTCATCCTTTCTTGATGATACCAAGATAAAGTAAACCCAAAAAGTGTGTTTTCCAAAATCAAAATGTTATCTGAGAATGCCGGCAAAGAAAGCACTGCCCTTCACTTCAGCTTTTCAATTAGAATAAGGGGTAATGTGTGCTGTCAGTGTGAAAGTATACACAATATGTTTGTCCTACACACAACAGGAGAGTGAATAGGAACATCTGGCCATCGCCTCAGTGAAATTGCATAGGCATCTGTTTACCTCTCGGCTCTGTGACACTGATGATTTTGAGCTTAAAATACACAGAATGCTTTATCTGTGGCCTAATTTACATTGCAGAATATAACTACTTGAATCAGAAATCACTGTCCTCAATCTGAGTGTTTTTCTCCGTGATTAGTGGAAATGTGAATATTGTTTCAAGACCATGATGACTTTGCTCTTTCAGGCTCACAAACAGAGCTACACTTCTGTGAACCTTTTCAGTTATGCTTTGTTAAGAACTACTCACGGCAATCAGAGAAATATGATTGAATATAAAAGAACTCAGGGCAAAAATAAGATACATAGGAAGTCAATCCCATAAAGTACTTGCACCAATAGGGGTGTAGCAGTGACAAGACATTATGAAGTAGTCTTTCACTGAAAGTTTGTATGTTTAGTCTTCGATTCATGTTGATCATTTTTAAAATCATGTAAAATGTATATTTTCAGATTTTGCCCCATGTCTTCTACTCTCTACTTTGTCATTCCAATGTTTAATGTCATATTGGCAACATTCCATACCCCCTTCATGGAGCATGAAATTCATAAAGCGTTTTGTTGTTTACTGTTTTGCAGCACATAAAATGCCTTTGTCAGTGTTTGTGGCCATTGAGAAAACACTCTTAAGTAATGGTATATTGAAGTTTGAGAGTTTGAGGGAAAATAATAGTTTGATAAAAAATCTATAATAATTTCTTCATTTAAAAGTGGATTTGGGGGGATTTTGAAGGCAGTGTAGAAAATATTATAATAACTAATTATAGAAAGAAACTGGCTTTGGGTGTAAAAGTTATTTCAGACCTTTTCTTTTCCTTGGATAGTTCAAGAACTACTTCAAGTTGTGAAGGAATTACTTTTAATCTGTGGATTAATAGGTGTAGAATTCAGTGCATGCCCACAACGTGGTAAGTACTGTCTAGAATGAATGAAAAAGGTAGTCCCTAGGAAGCTGATGCTAGTTATACAAGACAGGCAACTGGTCCTTTTACTTTCATGTGATTTTTGTATTGTATATGTGTGTGTGCACGCATGTGTGTCTGCTTCTGTATATATTACACAAAATGTATTTTTTAATTTAAGTTGATAAAAACCAGTAGAGGGATAATGTGAATGTCTGTGTAGTCGGTCATTATCATTGCCTTTGATTGTGGGTACCCTGTCCTTCTCCCACTGTGTTAAGATGGGCTTCTTGGAGAATGTGGGTGTTGAGAGAAGGGATGGGGGAATCACAAAAACCTTTAAAAGGTCATAATACATTTAAATCACGATTCCTACTCTGTTCCAGGTTGAAATTGTAACCCACACTGGACCCCACAGACGTCTGTGGATGGGTCCACAGTTCCAGTTCAAAACCATCCATCCCTCAGGCCAAACCACTGTTATATCATCTAGTTCATCTGTGTTGCAGTCTCATGGTCCAAGTGATACTCCACAGCCCCTTTTGGATTTTGATACAGATGACCTTGATCTCAACAGTCTCAGGTAGGAAATAAGAACTAGGGATTAATTTTAATGACAATGTTAATAATGTTTATTAAAACGAGCATCATTTGTAATATGTACATTTCCCCTTTTGGCGCAGGATCATGTCACAGAGTACATGTACTGTTATGTGTGATTCACTGTCATCACTTGGGATTTTACATGGGATCTGATCACATGGAATAAATATTTGTATTTCACATCGTATTTTCTCTGAATCTAAAATTCAGTACACTTTTTAAGCCATTCTAATTTATATTGCTTTGCTCATATTTCTAACTGCAGTCTGCTTATATCATCTTTTCCTGATCTTTCTGAAGTTGGCATCACCTTTCAATTAAATTTTATATGTGACTTTCATCTAATCCTGCATCTTCCTTCTTTTGTTTTATTCATTTTTTTAATTGAGACATATTAATTTACATATTTATGGGGTACAGAGTTATATTTCAACACATGTATGCAATGAGTGATATTCAAATCAGGATAATTAGCATTATCCATTGTTGCAAAAATTTACCACTTCTTCTGATGAGAGCATTTGACTTCCTCTCTTGTAGCCATTTGAAAACATACAATAAGTTATTGCTAATTATAGATGCCTAGCACTGCTGTAGAACACTAGAACTTATTTTTCCTATCTAGCTGTGATTTTGTATCCATTAACAAACCTCTCCCTTCCTTTAAATTATAAAGAGTTTATGTATGAGAAGATGTTGGTATAAATTCATTTATAATACAGGCCAACTACCAAAAAAAATTCATTTATAGTTTTCGTCTATATTTTATAATGTATATTCTTTGAGCCTTACTTATAAGCATCACAGTACAAGGTATACTTTTTTTATTATTAGCTTCTTTTTTATAATGCAACTCAGGCTTTTTTTACTTTTGCAGTCTCGAGTTTTTGTAGCAGTTTGATTTGTTATACCAAGGCCTGACATGTCAGTTTACAACAGACAATGAAGAGTTCTGTCTAATGCAGTATAATCTTCCTGTCTTGTCTTCTCTTAAAAAAATTTCTATAATGTTTCCTGGTTTGGATATAAAGCAGCCCTCTGACCTTTTTCTTGAATGTCTTTTTTTTTTTTTTTTTGTCTTTTGTCTTTTTTCCGTGTCCGGCAACGGGATCGCAACCCTCGGTGTTGCTCCCGCGCCTCGCTCAGCCAGTGAGCGGGAGCCGGTCTGTATGTGGGATCCGAACCCTCGGACGGGAGCGCCGCCGCGCTTCCCAAGTGGCGCACTATCCAGTGCGCCACCGGGCCGGCCCTCTTGAATGTCTTTTTAAAAATTATGAGAAAATGTATTCCAGTCACATGTTGGAAATATGATTTTGTGTGTCTCTTCATCAATAGCAATGCAAATGTTTATAACATAACAAAAGCTGTTGCAAAGTTGTATTTGGCTTGCTGTATGTATTTTTTAGTACGATACACACTTATTGAGGACCTGACAGGCACCCTACTAGGTGCTGGAAGATATGCCTAGAATACAGCCAGCTGCCTACTTCACTTTTGCTCTTGGTTTTCTCCGAAGCATCAAACACTTAACATGTCTGAATCACAACTTTTCATCTCACCCTCTAATTCTGCTCTTCCCCTAGTCTTTCTCACCTCACTAAATGAATCCTTGAACCACCTAGTCCTCAAGCCAGGATCTAGGGGTTATTCTTGACATCTTCTTTCTCACCCACCACATGTAATTCTTCATCAAGTTATGTCACATCTATTCCAAAGTATAGCTAGAAACCTTCCACTCCTCTCCATTCCCACTGCCAGCACCCTAGCGATAACATCTTTTGTCAGTGGGCTCCTAAGTGGTCTCTTTTATTACATTTTTGCTTTCCCACACTTATGTATCTTATGGAATGATTTATAAAGAGCAACCAATCGCCTTTTAATACCAAGTTTAGTATTTTTTCTTTGTTTGTTTAGTTTGCTTTGTGTTTTGTTTCATTCTTCCCTACATTTTTGCTTTTTTTGTTTTAGCATATTTTCTCTGATTTTCTAGAAATGGCACTTTCTCACTAAGATGTCAGTCAACACTGACAATACAGTGGGTGCTAGACCAGTTTTCAGTGGTGCTAATCATAAAACATGGATGAATTAGGTAGTCAGTCCATTTTCAGATAAAGTTGAGTCAGTCCTCAATTTAGTGATTCAGTGTTTAGTCATTCATGTCTACAACACACATTCAGTTATTTGAAGGTTAATAATAAAGCATTTAAAATAAGCGACCCATTTATTCTCTTTACAACTATGTAACCCGTTTATTCTCTTTGCTGAACTATTCACAAGTCCCCATTTGTTTTTTTGTTTTTTTGTTTTTTTCTAGTTACTATCACCAGCTGCTATTATAAGGCCCTGTCCTTTCTCTTAGGAAGGCATCTCCAGTTCCTATATATACAGCTCTGTCCCTTTGTTTTTTGGCTTCCTCCAGCTTTCTTAGTTACTCTTTACTTCACAGATAGTTTTTCTAAGATCTTTTTAACTTGCTTCTTTAGATATAGCTCCATTTCCAAAATTCTTTAGAATTTTCCTTAGGTACTGTCCTTTTTCTTATACTAAAGAACTCCCAGGATTTTTTATCTAAATGATCTAAAATTGCTTATGCTTGATAAGTATATTTTCCTGTTTATGGGACACAAATAACCTTTAGAAACCTTTATATTGGAGGCCGGCCTGTGGCTCACTCGGTAGAGTGCGGTGCTGATAACACCAAGGCCACGGGTTCGGATCCTATATAGGGATGGCCGGTTTGCTCACTGGGTGAGCGTGGTGCTGACAACACCAAGCCAAGGGTTGAGATCCCCTTACCGGTCATCTTTAAAAAAAAAAAAAAAAAAAAAGAAACCTTTATATTGGGCAGAGGTTTATAAATTTCTTTAGATTGCATTTTAATTTGTATTTTAAATTTTGAGCAGATAAGCTTGGTTAGGACCTTGGTTAAGACATTAACCCCCATTACAGCACCATTTTAATGGGAAATTTAGATTTGATTCACATCAATTTTAAGTGCTCTTTTTAGAACCTTTTCCACCTAGCATCCAATTAGAAACCCAACTATTTATATTCTCCTCATTCTTGTTTACTGTCAATGCTAGCCCAGATCCTCACCTCTGGTTCATTTACATTTTTTCAGGCCTATGCATAATGTCACTATAGCAGGCCATTGGAGTTACCTTCTATAAATTATGAAGTACTTGTTTAGATTTTTTGGGGCACAACTTACCCTTAATACCGGGCCTGCTGTCCTGTACCCCATAAGATATCACTAAGAATATGTAGCGCAGTCATAGTCTGCCTCCTTGCATCCTAACCAAAATGGAAAAAAGGTGGGTGTAGTAGTGACTCTCATCTATAAGGGAATCAGGTATTGCTTTGTCTCATGGCAGCTCCTTACAAAGAGCAGGGATTTATTTTTACTTATTTGGTTTTTGGCAGCTGGCCGGTAAGGGGATCTGAATACTTGACCTTGGTGTTATCAGTACCATGCTCTAACCAAGTGAGCTAACTGTCCAGCCTCAGAGCAGAGATCTAAAATATAAAAAAAAAAAAAAAAGTCAGTGAAATATTTGTTAATAGATCTGAGGAACATACAATGTAAAAGAATCAGAGTATATAAAGCTTCCCTTTCCACTCAAGATTAGCTCCTCAGAAACTGGTTACAGTTTATTTTATGTTAATTGATATATAAATGGTATAACATAAAATTCACCAATATTAAAGTGTAAAATTCAGTGATTTTTAGTATATTCACTGTTTTGCATCCTTCCCCACTATCTAATTCCAGAACATTTCCAACTTCCCAACCAGTTTTTGTCTTTTTTTTTAGTTAGGGAAAAATTTCGGGGCCGGCCCGGTGGCGCACTGCTACAGTGCGCCGCTTGGGAGTGCTGCGGCGCTCCCGCCGAGGGTTAGGATCCCACATACAGACCGGCCGCTCACTGGCTGAGCGAGGTGCGGGCGCAACACCGAGGGTTGCGATCCTGTTGCCGGTCCCGGTCCGGTACGGGCGCGACACTGAGGGTTGCGATCCGTTGCCAGTCACAAAAAAAGACAAAAAGGAAAAAAAAATTTCAACCATATATAAAATAAAGAGAATGATAGAATAAACCCCCATATATCTGTTGCTCAGCTTCCACACATCAATTCATAGCCAATTTTGTTTCATCTTTAGCCCCATCCACAACCCGCCCCCAACTTTGCATTATTCAGAAACCACAATATAAATTGAATTAACAATAGGAAATTTATTAGCCCACATAAGAAGTTTAGACTAGAAGGGGGCTTACTTATACCATATGTAACATGCTAGCTTCTTGCTGCTCCTGAGAACAAGAAAACTTCTTTTCCAGAAACTTCAAATAAACTACTCCTCTTTTCTTGCTGTTCCAGATTTCTTCAGGCTTGCTCACCCAGAACTAAGTGCTGCCAAGATGTGATAGGATTAGCTTTGCTGACTTAAGGAAATTAAGTTGGGGTGCAACGAACATTGGGTAGTATTCCACAGCAGTGATCAGTATTTGTATATCAATATTTTCAACTTCCAGTACTAAATCATCCTGCATCTCCCTCCCATTTCTTCCTTCCCCACAACAAACACATACATTCAGACTGTACTTTCTATAACTACTCTTTGTCTGTAATTCATACTTGGCATTTCAGTCTTCTATTATCTATTTCATTTTTATCTTCCACCAATAAATACCCTTTATGAACTTTATACTTCAGCCAAATTATACACCTCAAGGTGCCCTGCATTTATCATAGTCACAAATCTGAGGTTCTGCTTATTCTAATCTTGTGCTTGAAGAGCACATCTTGCTTCTCTCCGTATATACGTATCCTATTACTATATACACATGCAATTCCTGTTTCAGCTCCACAAGATCTTCTCTATCTCGTGTGGGCCATGCCTATATTCTCCCATTTCCTCATTCTCAACTCTATTATTTATCTCACTCATATTTACATTTTAGTTTTATTTTGCGTCATCATGAATGTTTATGCGCCATGTCATATCTGCATATAGACCTTGTATTTCATGTTTTGTTTCTGCTTCTTCCTAGAATAATGCTGACATATAATTAATATTCAATAATACTTATTGTATGAATGAAATACCAGAAATGCATACATATATTCTTGTAACAAGTGTTTTGTTCTTCTAAATTGCCTGGAACTCTCAGATCTTTTAATCATACACATATTTTCATGATAATACTATTTACACTAATGCAGCTGGAAAGAGACCTTTGGCATTTATATGTTCATCATTCTGAAGCAACTTGAAATTGTAGTAAATTGCAGTTTTGCTGGGGGTCTAACTGGTTATTATACGCTCATTGGTAATTTTGTGAAGGTAACTCAGCTAGTTAGTAGTGATCCTAGCTAAACCCCATGCAGCCACAACACCGCTTGATCATCTTATACTTATTGTCATACATAACTTTCACTAAGGATTTTAAGAGAGTATCTGAAAATTTTGAAGCACATATTGCTGCCTTTTATAGAACACTTTACTAGTTATGCTGCTATTCGTGTTCTTGGAGGTTCTCAAAACTCTTCATAGTTGCCGTTGACAGTGCCAAAGGTTTCAGTATAAAGTGTTTTGTTTCCTCTCCCATTCTATCTATTTTATCCCTCTAAATTAATGTCAACTTTTCAATTCCTTACTTAAAAATCTATTGAATAACATACAAAGACAAGTTAGAAAGGCTCTGGAGTGGACAGAATGTTTTCAGTGCTTTAGCCTTGTGTAAGAATTAGGGACCGCAGCTCCTCTGTCGGTTTTAGAATGAATGATTCTTTAATGGATTGGGCTATTCCAGCATTCCTGATTTAAGGTCTGTTGTAGCAAGTGACAGTTTTGATGCCAGTAACATATGTGAATTAAATTAAATTGCATTGCAGGATCCAGCCAGTCCGCTCTGACCCAGTCAGCATGCCAGGGTCATCCCGTCCAGTCTCTGATCGAAGGGGAGTTTCCACAGTGATTGATGCTGCCTCAGGTAGAAAAACACCTCTAAAATGTTTACTGGCCAGTTTTGTGCATCTTTAATTTGTTTTCTTTCACAATGTAGAGCACGATATTTATTTGCCTTTCTCATTGTTTTTTGTTGTTGTTGTTTTAGGGGCACGTGTGTGTGAATACATTACTGTGCCTATATTTGTTGCTAGACAATGCCATGTATTTAAACATTCTTAAGATTGGTGAATGATGCAGTGAAGTTGGCACTGGATTAAATATAATGAACATAGTATTGAAGTCTACAAGTTTGATGACTGTTTTGCCTTTGATCACTGAAAAGTGGAGAAGCAACCTTGACAGAGAACGTAAATACAATGTATGGATTTAATTTACTCAACCTGTTGAGTTTCAAAGTGCTTAATCTGTGGAAGCAGAGAGAGTCCAAATGCTATAGCTTGAATGGTTTTATTATTGAAAGCATAAAGTTTAGAAATTCATTAACTTAACTCTGGTCTGTCTATCACAGTTATTAATTTCCTATCCTTGGAACCAAGCTATGAATATGTAACATTAATATCTAGAAGGAGATCTTTGCCTTTGTTGGTGGTAGTTGCTACATTAGTATTATAAAACTTTTCAGCTAGGGCTGCTAGATAATAGAATTGTTTGTAATATATTTTCTCATCTCTAAGTTGAGTGATAAATAAAATAAGGATAGTGATGCCTTGTATTATGGTGTAGCCAGGGAGGATCTGAAGACAGTGCACAGCAGGATTTCGTCCAGAAAAGTCTCACAGTAGAATTATTAAATACTCGGCATTAATCAAACAGTTGAGTCAGAGAGGATTTTAATCTATAGCGATTTCAAAATCCCTAGAGATTGCTGATTTGATTGAGGCTTAAACTGTGAAAGAAAATGGAAACAAACACAAAACTGATTTTGAAGGTCACTTTTAAAAGACCAAAGCTTCTGTTTCTGACTCTGTGTCTGGATATATTTTTAATTTTCGATGCTAATGGGTTTGTATGTTGTCTTAGCTTTCTGAGTTTTTGGCCAGTGGTCGGTACTTTGCCTCCTATTGAGCTGTCCCCATCCAGGGCTATGTCTTTATTTTTAGTGTAGGCTATTACTTTAAAGGATTCATATTTGTTCCTCTGCTTTGACTTGGCAACCATGGTTGTCCTCTGGAAACAAGCACAGAAATGTATAGCATCTCTAACCTTGCTTCGTTGCATTGAATGAGATATTGAGATTGGTAACTTAAACAATAAATCTTTTGATAGTAACAAACTGAGAATGCTAACAGATCATGCTGGTCTGGAATTATCATCTATAATTGTAAATCCTGGAAATGTTATATATTATAACCTGAAGTATTTTATTCAAGATTACAAAAGTAGGCCTAGTTGGGCTTTATAAAAACATTCTCAATCTACCATATTAATAACGTTTTATTGTCAAGTGACTAGCTACCAGGAATGTGTGTCATCAAAGCAGTTACCATGGGCTATTAAAAGTTGACATTCATTACTGTATTCTGAGGTAATATACTATATTCTGAGGTAATACTCCATATTCTGTGGTAATATCACAGAGCAATTTTAGCTGTATGTGAAGTTTTCTGATGCAACAAGGAGGAATTTCAAAGAACTGTAGTAACCATTGTTCTGTTTAACTGTTGCAAGAAGAGTATTTAAGTTGATTTTTGAACTAGGAATTAGATCTTTGAGCTTGGTTTATTTACCTTTCCACCAGAGATGTACTGTAGGAGTCTCTAGGATATTGCTCTACAGCTTTGAGCCTCTGCCTGAAAGTACCAGTCTTTTGAGTAGGGAAAGGACTTCTTGGTAGCTAAGCTCTATTATTACTTTTTAGGCTTACATTCATCCCAGAAAGCCATGGTTCCTTTCTGAAAGACAAGCCAGAACAGTGAAATGTGTGTGCTGCTTTCTCTAGCTTTGAGCTAAAGGTGCCCCATAGATGGGGAATTGGACTTTTGTGACTAATTCTTCAGCTACATCTCACATGGTCTGGATCCCTTTTGAATGAGGGAATATGTGTTGTTTAACACATTTTTTTGAGTGAATAATGTTTTGTTGTGGAGCCTCCAACTACATTATCTAATAGGACAACTGTTTTTTACTGAACTACTTTTCTACTAATGTTTAAGAAGATAGAGGCTAAATGATTTGAGTTCTTTATAGAAACAAGTTTATGGGAAAATTCTGTTTTGGATTCTTCTACTAAAAAGAGTCTAGAGCTGGCTGGTTAGCTTACTTGATTAGAGAATGGTGCTGATAACACCAAGTCAAGGGTTCAGATCTCCTTACTGGCCAGCCACCATAGGACATATAAACAAAACAAAACAAAAATAGTCTCATAAATTTTTGTAATTGCTCCTGAACTAGGAAGTGCTTGTCTGATTATGACCCATGCATTGGACCTGGCAGTCCCTAGTTAGCTTCAGGATGGGGGCTGGTCTCAGGAAAGACAAGGTAGGACTTTCAGTCCCACCCCCTAACCTCTGGGAGGTTAAGCTGATTACCAGTGGCCAATGATTTAATCAATTAAGTCTATGTAATGATACCTCCATAAAAACCCAAGAGGCCTATGTTCAGAAAGCTTCCAGATAGCTGAACGTGATAACTGAGCAGGTTCCTGGACGGTGGCACACCTGGGGAGGGTATGGAAGCTCTGCACCCTTTCCCCCATACCTTGCCTTATTCATCTCTTCCTCTGTATCCTTTGTAATGTCCTTTACAATAAACTGGTAAACGTAAAGTTCCTGCTTCCCTGAGTGCTGTGAACCACTCAAGCAAACTAATTGAATCCAAGGAAGAGGTTGTGGGAACCCTGATTTATAGCTTGTGGGTCAGAAGTTGCAGAGGCCTGGACTTGCAAATGGCATCTGAAGTGGGGGGCATTTTTGGGGACTGAGCCCTCAACCTGTGGGATCTGATGCTATCTTCAGGTAGATAGTGTCAGAATTGAATTGAATTAGAGGACAGCCAGCTGGTGTCCACTGGAGAACTGCTTGCTTACTGGTAGGGAGAAAATCCTCACACATTTGGTCACAGAAGTCAGAAGCTGGTCTTCTGTGTTGATGATTCTGATTGTTGCTGAGTAAGAAATAGAGGAAAGACAGTGTGTGTTTTTCCTACTCATTCACTCACCTACAGATACTTATATCGACTATCTCTATATAAATATGTATGTATTTAGATCATCAGCAGATCTATAACTGCTTGATGCATAGATGTTATTTCTATAAAATCTCTTTCATATCTTTGGTGATTCAAAGATCATTATCCTACTTATGATTTGGGGTTTAGATAATTCCCTTCTTGGGATGTTCCCTTCTTGGCTAAGGAGAAAATCATTCTGAAAATGTACACTCCATAGGATTTTAATTTAAGTCACAGGATACCCAGAACAAGTGGGCTTTGAGGCAACTGCTCATTTTTTCCTACATCTAACTAAGTAGCGAAGTCTGGAATTTTAGACAGTATTTCTAGATAAAGCACTACATCAATTTCTTAAGTTTTTTTCTGTACTAGGTATCTAAGAATTTTTTATTAGGAATCTAAGAATTTCTTCCCACATTGTTCCTTATAACATATGCCCTTCTTTTGAAAAAGGTATAGAATCTGTCAAAAGAAAGCAGAAAGATAGCTGTTATCTCATTTGAACTTTGTTTTCCAGATTGGTGACTGATGTTTGTCTTCCAAGACTTGTAGGCTGTACCTACTAGATAACTGAATAGCATCTTGACTTGCTTTTGGGTCATCAAATCGAAGAGCCTAGAAAAATCTGAGTTGGTCTGTAGTTTTGCTATAGAGATTGATTATTTACCAGCAAAGAACTCAAAGCAACTGAGATTGAAAGACAAACCTGTGCTTAACTTGTATGCAGAACAGATCTTTATCAAATTCTAATAAAGTAAAAATTTTATAAAGATAAAGTTATATGACATGGCGTAAGAAGCATTCATATACACTCATGAGGAAGATGCCAGTGGAGAAAAGGATAATTGTAATAGAGAAATAAAATGAGGTTTTATCCTTCAAAGCAGGCTTTGATACTTAAGACATTAAATGTGTTACATTAAGCATTTCAATAAGTAGGGACAAAGTTTCAGACTTGCTGTTTGTTGTTCTTGACTCAAGAGAAATATTATTTCTATTGTACAATTAAAGAAATGTAAGTAATTTCTAAGAAATTAAAAAAATAATTCATTTTAGGAGATAATTTTTGAGCACCTAATTTTTCCCACTATGAAAATAATTTGTTTAACTGAAGAAAATTATACACTTAAATCTCAAACTTGTTTCATTTGATTAATTTTATAATGATCATTTGTGTTTCCTTTATGTATATGGCATTTGGTGTATCACCTCTAAAACACACACACACACACACACACACACACACCCCAAAATACTTATTATTAGAGCAGTACAATTGGGTAAGTGACAAGATTATTTGAGCAATTTTCATTTTATCTTGTAGTCATATCTGCGCTGGAAGGACATCCTTATAGAAGCATGCTTTTATCTTACAGAGATTTTTCTGATGCACTGAGGGAAGAGTATTCCTAAGTATTTCACTGTATCTACAGTTTTCATTTCAATCTTAGGCAGACAAAAATAGTCTTTATATCTTAAAGCCATCAGAGACACAGAGATGCTGGTAGTCAGAAGTAAAGAGATTTGTAAAAGACACCATTCAGTCTACCATGGTGAGGTCACTTAGCTTCGTGATCTTAAAACCAGAATTGAGTGACAGAAGCCATGACATTATAATCATGGTCTTGAACTTTTGCTGGAAGCTTCAAGTCATTTGTCTTACCTAACCATTATTTTCTGCATCTGTAAAAGGAAATTAAGATTCCCTATACAAAAATTAGGAAGGGGTGTGTTCCAATAATCTCCTAAAACGATACCAAGATATAAAGGATATGAAATTCTTTAGAAATATTGAGATATTTCTTTGAATAAATGATGTGGTTTTCAATTAATAGAGTTCCAGATAGTCTCGGTGATTATAAGGTGATGAAAACTCTAGGCATGTACCTTGGGTATTCATAGCCTTTGTAATCAGTAAGAGGATTAAGGACAGGGGTGAAATTAAAAGGCAGCTCAGTCCTGACCTGTGAACAGTCCCTCAGAGGGGAAAAGTATTTAAACTCTTATGTTAAGATTGGCTTTTTTCTTAGAAATAAGGAAGCATATACATTAAATCACCTCTAATCTTTTGAACACCCACTGTCTGTATAAAATCAAAGTAAGTTTCTGAGATTAAGAACATGGGGAAAAGGCCTGATTTGCCCAGAAGGAAAGTACTCAGCCACATCTCCCTTATTCTGATTTTAATATTACTCTCATTCTTCTTTCTAATATTTATAGGATGTTAAAAGATCAATGTCAAGTTAACAATGAGGAAAAATTAGCTCAGCACAATTAAGAAAAAAGATTGCCTCATTTGAAGATGAAGAAACAGTAACAGAAGTAGAAGAAGCTGTTGGAAAAGTTTCTCCTGATGACACATTGCCTCTTTGAATAAATCTTTGTGTCAATCTATTGCAAGCACCAGGTCCTTGACATGACTTTAAGTCTTTCCTAAGCATTTTGAGAAGGAATCGATGAATTCTCTCCATTGTTGATATGCCATGGTACCACATATTACCTGGGACTTTTCAAGCAAAAGACCCAGCTTTTCTCTTTTTACGTTAATTACTACATCTCTAATACAAGGCTGGACTGTTTATGGTCTGTTGCCTGAGACTGTGGTGGCAGGAGGACAACGTTGAGGGCAGTATTAGAATTTGTTTAAGTCTGAACCGGGAATTCCATTTGTCTTAGTGACTTGATTGTCAAACTGTTAGTGCCACACTATTTTAAATTGTGTCCAAGAACTTGAGAGGCTTATGCTTATAGGTGCTATCTGTGAACTCAGAAACAAACAAAGAGCCTCTCTCCATTGAATGGTAAGCCAAGTGGGCAATTAAAGAGCAGCCTGGGATCTCAGCTGGCAACTAGTCAGAACCAGAGCTCCTGATATTCCCCTGGATATTGTTGAAAATGGTCACAGTAAAGCTAAAGTAAATAATCAAAGTGAAAACAGTTGTTCCAGAGAAAAGTCTTGTTTTGGAAGCTTGGTGTTGTAGAAAGAATAATGACAGTAACTTATGAATCTTTGGTTCTAGACTCAGCTCTGCCTGTAGCTACCTGTTTATTATTGCTTTGAAACCCAGCATTTCCCTAAAATGAGGGAATTGAACTAGGTTATTTCCAAAGTCCCTTTTAGCTTGAAAAATTGATGAATCTGTACTTTAGAACACCTTTGAAGACATTTTAAAATTAAGGTATAATTTATCTATAGCAAACATGCACATATATTAATCAGACAACTGTATGAACTTTTATACCCATGTAACCAGCACTCAGATCAAAATATAGATTATTTTCATCAACCCAGGAAGACCCCTTATTCCCCTCTCAGTTAATATTACCTTTGTCATTGAGGTAACTGCTTTTATCATCATAAATTAGGTTTGCCTATATTGAACTTCATGTAATTGGAATCATTCCATATATATGCTTTTGTATATGACTTATTTTGCTTAACTTAATGTTTTTGGGATTTATCCAGGTGTTACTTGTATCACTGGTTCATTTTTAACATTGCAGTGCAGTATTCCGTTATGTGAATATAGCACACAGTTCATGTATACATTATCCTGTTGTTTCCAGCTTATGGCTGTTATGAATAAAGCTGCTATAAACATTCCTGTACAAGTATTTTTCTTTTTTTCTTTTTTTAACACATGCACACATTTCCTTTGGGCATATCCCTAGTACTGGCATTGCTGGGTCACAATGAAGGCATATGTTTAACTTTATTAGGAAAGTACTCCAAAATGACTATAACATTTTGCATTCCTACCAGCAGTGTGTGAGCATTTCAGTTGCTCTACATTCTCATCAACATTTGGTATTATTGGTCTTTGTTTTAGCCATTTTAGTGAATGTGAACTGTGGTTTTTTAATTTGCTCTTCTCTGATGAATAATGCTATTGAACACCTTTAATGTATTATTGGTCATTTTGATATCTTATTTTGTAATGTGCTGGTTAAGTCACTGAATTTTCTCAGGTCTGTTGTCTTTATTGAATATCGTGGGGTTCTTTAAATATTCTGGATACAGGTCTTTTGTATGTGTAGCAAATATCTTTTATTTAGTTGCCTTTTCACTTTCTTACTGGTGTCTTTTGACAAGCATATGTCAAATTTTTCCATTGTTTTTTATGTTTTGTGTTTTACCCACACAAAAAATGTTCCTTTCCCCAGTTTTGAAGAGATGCTTTTCTCTAGAAATTATATAGTTTTGTCATTGATGCTTAGGACAGTGATCCATTTCAGATTAATTTTTATTATTATGTAAGGTTGGGATTAAAGTGCTCAGTTTTTCCCATACAAATATCCCATTGCTCCAGCCCTGTTCATCAAAAAGATATGCCTCCCCCCAATGAGTTGCACTGAAGCCTTTTTTAAAAATCATATTTTTTTCTTGGTTTTCTAATGTGTTACATTGATTTATATAGCTTTCTTTAAATCCATATTGTACTATCTTAATTACTGTAGCTTTTAGATAAGTTTTGAAGTCTAATAGTTTAATGCCTCCACCTTCGTTCTTCTTTATGGTTATCTTGGCTATTCTAGGTTCTTTGCATTTCCACACACACGCATTTGTACAAACATACCAGTGGTTCCTCAAAGTGTGAGTCTCCAAGACACTGTAGGAGTCTCCAAGACACTTTCGAGTGGTCAGTAAAGTCAAAACTATTTTCATAATAGTAATAAATTATTAATTGCCTTTCATTTTCATACTACATTGACGTTTAGTACAGATGGTGCAAAAGCAATTGTGGGTAAAATTGGTAGCATCTTAGCATAGTAATGGCAGTGACACCAAACTATGCTAATTGCCACTGCTACCCACACAGAATTTAACAACAACAAAAAAGGTGTATTCACTTAAGAATATCTTTGAAGCAGTACAAATCATTAATTTCAATCAAATGGGAATGAATGCATGATAGTTGCTTTGAGGAAAAGTATTTGTTTGGTTATTAAAGATATGAACTGAACTGTGTTCATAGAAAACAGTTGTGAACTGTTTTCATATAATACCATTTTAGCTGAAGGAATAACTGACAAACTATGTTTATTCAGACATGAGTATTTGGCAGAAATTTTCTCAAAAATAAGGAAAGTATGCCTGTCACTTTAAGGAAAAACAAGTGACAGTAAAATTTTACCAATGATAAAAATTTTAGCTTCAGTTGAAAATTAGAAATTTGGAACCCTTGTATTCACCACTGTCTGCTAAACAGATTCCCAAATACTTAGACATTTCTGAGGAGATAGGTGGTAATATTAACTAATGTGATTTTTTTTTCACATCATATAATAAAATATATCAACATCTGGGAGATCTGCAATATTTTCCAAATGATAAATTTCATAGTGTTACAAAATTATGCATGAGTAAAGACTCATTCCAAAGGATTGGAATATGAGTACAAAGTTAATTGATATGGTTTCATATTCCACATTGCAACTAACTTGTTGAGTGTCATATTATTGAAGAATTTCCCCAGAATATGAAAATAATATAAAAATACTCTTTTTCCAGTTACATATTTGAATGAGGCCAACTTTTTTTTTTTTTTTAACATGCTTCAACCAAAACAATGTATCACAACAGATTGAATGCATAAGCAGATACGAGAATCAGGCTGTTGCCTATTATGGAGGTTTCTAAAAAGAAGTAAAAATGTCATTTTTCTCACTATTATTTTTTGGTTTGGGAAAAAAATTGAAAACCATTGAGATTTATGTACATGTGTGTGTGTGTGTGTGTGTGTGTGTGTACTCAAACACACGTATGTTAGGTAATCAGCTTGTTCATTTCTCATTCAGATAAGATTTGATTGGGATTTCATTGAATTTGTACATCAAATTTGGGAGCATTGACATCTTAAAAATATTGAATCTTCCAATACATAAATTTTTATAGCTATCCATTTATTTAGGCCTTCTTTAATTTTGCCTAATAATTGGTAAGTTTCAATGTAGAAGTGTCACAAATATTTTGTAAAATTTATTTTTATTATTTGATATTTTTGATGCTACTATATATATACCATATTGTATTTCATTTTTTAGTCTTTTTCTTTATAGCATATAGAATAAATTACTTTTTTATATGATGGACTTGTACCAGAAACCTTTCAAAATACATATATTAATTCTAGTAGAGTCCATTGAATTTTCTACTGTGCAATCACATCACCTGCAAATATAGATTTTTTTCTCCTCAATCTTTATATATTTTATTTCTTTTTCTCTCTTATTACACTTGCTTAGACCTCCACTGCAATGTTGAATATAACATTTTTATCTTTTTAACCCAGGAGGAAGGTTTTAATATTTCATTATTAAGTATTATTATTATTATTAGGTTTTTTGTATCATCTTTATTAAGTTTTCTATTTTATAATGAGGAAAATATGGAGAAAATCCGTAATAAAAACCAAACTGATATTCTAAAACTGAGTAATAGAAAATCTGAAATGATTCATTGAATATGCTAAACAGCAGTCTGGACATAGAAGAAAGGCTTAGGGACTCAAAAACAAGTAAAAATTTTTCATAAATGAAGCAGAGAGAAAATAATAAAATAAAACGGAACTGAGTGTGAGAGGTATGTGGGGCAATATCAAACTAATATGTGTAATTATTACACATATGGAAGAAAAGGAGAGAGTAGGGCAAAAGAAATACACAAGGGGTTGGGAACTTTCCCAAAATTAGTGAAAGACATCAACTCAAAGATTCAAAGGCTCAGAATATCCCACGTAGGATTTAAACTAAATACACCTAGGAATATCATAGTCAGACTGTTGACATCCAAACAGAAAAAAGCAATTTTAATAAGCCTACTATGTTTCTTTATTTCTTAGGTTCAAATGTGGGTGATGCTTTGGAATTTTGATAAAACTAGAAATAGGGAAAGTAGCAGGGTGGTTTTTAAGTTTCTCTGGCAGTCTGAGATCCCTGTCTCTCAATAATTAAGAGCTCTATGAGGAATCTTAGGATATTTGCCAATAGACAGAAGTGAAAGAGATGGGAAACCAGTATTTATTTATAAACAGCTAGGTGCCTGACAGTGTGCTAGGTGTTTTCACATGTCTTATCTCATTTAATCTTATTTAATTCAGATCACAGGTCCATTTCAGAAATATTCAAACAAGAAAACCTAGGACACCTAGCTCCTGATACTTAGAATTACTTAAAGTGCATTATGGTGACACCTCAGATAAGTCCAAACCTCTTTCTACCCTGCCTGATCAAATATTCATTTCAAAACACTGTATGCTGAAATGAGCCATGTGGGAGTTGATGAGAATCAACTATTCAGGTGGTGAAAATGTGTGAATGCAGCTGGCAGATGAAGTTCCGGTATGATGAATTCCCAGCTTGTCCTTATTGCTTCAGGCAACATCTGACAGGCCTGACTGGTTATTGGCTTTCCATTTCTGGCATTGATAGGACTGAAAATTCTTAGTGTCACAGATACTTAAAAGCTGTCCCTGTTATAGTGGATACAAACAGCGCTGGAGGGTCCTTCTTGCGTAGAGATGTAATCAATATGGTCTGGAGTTCTTGACCTGAACCTATAATTATTTGGACATTAGAAAGGTAGCTTGTTGTTACAGAAAATGCTTGTATTCAGAACATTGTGACTAAGTTGTGAATAGAGAAGAGAAAAATAGAGGCTTTGTCCCTCTTTCTATTCTTCACAGTATTTAAGAAGCTTTCATAGTAATCACAGAACATAGTGGTATTATAGGATTAAAACATTGTATCTTTGGTTTTGGGTGCTGAAGTTTAAATTGCACCTCTGAAGTGATCCTGATATCTCACAAAAGTTGTGACTTTAACACTCTGCAGCTTGTGATTGTGACTTTTCTAATACCAAAGTAGAATTTTTTTTCATTGACCCAAATACCTGGATTTGAAATGAGGCTTTAAATAATAACACATTTGAGTTTGAGCTTTTCCTACAGTTAACTGGTATGCTGGAAAAAAAGGAATTGGGTAAGCAGATTTTGTGGCAGGTATGGTCCATGGGCAGGAGTGAGTAGGAGGTGACATTGGTAGCAGTTCTTAAGTCTCCACGTGTACCAATACATTTAGACTTACTGTGATCGGGATTACTTTGCCATATGAAAATAGTATGAGAGGTCTTCGAAAGGTTCATGGAAAGGTTTGTATTGTCTTTTAATTCAGTTTTTCCAAGAACTTTTAAAAATACTCTCATAAAACTGGAGACATGAAGTACCGTAGTAGTAGGTGTAGGGCT